GATAAAGCCTTGGGCAATGTGGTCTCACCCTCCAGCTGACTTCAGAGGTCCCTTCCAGCCTGAGTCATTGTTGCTCCTATCCCTGCGATCCCATTCTATGACTTGTGATCCTTGTCTTTTATCCTGATTTCCTTATGATACTCTATCTTACCCTTTTGTGGGTAAACTCCTGTGGTAAGTGGTCACCTTTCTTGCCTAGATGAGCTGTCTTCTCTCATTAACTTGCAATTTTTTAGCAGCGGGTTTCCTAAATGGCAGCTTTTTGTGTTATTTCTATCAGGTGAGTAAATGTTAAACAAAACCAAAGAAACCCCCAAACCAATAACACCCCCCTCCTCCCCCAAAAAAACCTCCACATCCACAAAAAACTGGCTCTGAACCATGAACCAAAGCATGGGAAGGGTTGATAAGGAAGAGAATTGCTCCAAAATTGTACTCTCAAGACCATCTTAAATATTAAGGTAGACGTACCTTCTGATGCCCCCAGTCTCTCACTCTGAACATGAGAATCCAGTGAACTCATGGAGTAGAGGGAAATTCAGCATGTACCTTCCTTCTGTCTGGCAGTTGTACCACTAAAGGTAAACATCAGTTCCATGACTCTGTCGCTCCACTACTAGTTCAATCTGTATGTCTAAGCATACAAGAGGTAAGTCACGGTCAACAAAGCGTCATTTTTAAAGCATTGCCCTTGACTTTTCATACATGGTGTCTCTAATTCTGTGTGCAGTCAGTTTCAGATCTGAAGAAAGAGATGATGAATTAACTCATTCTATGAACTACCCTGAATGGAATTTGATGTTAATTTTTTTTCCTAGAATAACCCTGGGTTGCATCTTCAAGGTGAACAAACAGATAAACATGGAGCCCTACTTAGGAAATACACTAAGTTCTCAAAATGAAACCAGGAAGGGTTTCTCTTCTGTCTCCTGAGATACATTCACCTAGAGAAAATTAGCATATCTTATCTATCTTAATCTCTGATTATACATAAAAAAAGAAAAACTGTGCCGAACTAAAGAAAAAATGTAATTTCAGATAGTATGTATTCTACTGGTGTACTTAAGGACACTTGTACTTCTGATGGTGACTGATAACTATGAAAGCTTTACTTAAAATGTGAAACCTACATCTGTGAACTTTATATTTTGCTTCATGTAGTTCCAATTTTGAATTGCCAAAGTACTGGAAAAAAAAACAAACAAACAAACAAAAAAACACAGGAGAAGCTATTTTTGTGTTTGATTTTTCTAAATATAAATAGCACAAGGAAATATTGGTCTGCTAATGATAGTTTTCTAATCCACACTTCATAAGCATTACTACTTAGTAATTTGCAGTCTTACACATTGTTGGCTTAGAGTGGCTTTTTTTCATGAGTGAAGTTGGAAAGACTTGTATATTCAGCTGTTAAATGCTGGTGTGAATTATTCTACATTGCTTTGCCAGTTTATTCAGCCTGACCTCTGAGAATCCATTTATTACCATGTTGAAGATCATTCAGATGTAGACTGCTTGTATGCTAGTAGCTAAAACAAGAGTAAGGAGAAATGCTGGTACAATACTCGAAAGCTGACCTTTGATTTTCACCTAAGGTGGCCAAAAATGTTTTCCAAGAGTTTGAGGGTTGGATTTGTCAAAATACATCCAACACAACACATTAAAGACTTCATTTAGAAGTTTTTATCTTATGCCATCACTGTACATGTAGCTAATAAACTAACCATGTGAAGAAGCTGTTTAACAGTCAGTGTCAGATGAAGTCAGCCTTGGTTTGGCCAGTACAGTGGCCAGTACTTAAAAACATTAAAATTACAGTGACTGTTTGCTCCAGCATCTTATTTCTGTCTTCTACTGTCACCACTGCTTCTCAGTGTTTTGGCAAGAGGTAAAAATCTGAAAACATGCTGCTTTCACCAGTATAGATATATATATTTTTAACTTAAGCCATCAGGATCATCTACAGTCTTTTTGTGTATGTTTGGTTACCCTTCCTACATGTCCAGACTTTCTAACTTGAAGGGTAACCTCTCGCATAGGTAAGCTATGTAATAGGGCTATCATATGTAATACAGAGAACCCAATTAACTTCATATTGCTTGCGTGTATTTGATTTGACAGATGTTTACGAGTCAAACCAGACCATACAGAAAAGAGTAATTTCTTTATAAATACTCAGTAAGCCTCACATCATTTTACAACTGGTCAGTAGAAATTATTATCTGCTCTTCTTCAGGGCTTTTATTTATGCTGGACCATCACCCTCACAAATAGCACTTGGATTCTTTCATCAATAGTAAGGATTGAGGAACAAAATACAAATTATCCTATTTTATGATTTGCATTTACTTAGTGGTGTTTTATGTGTCATTAAACATGCATAAGATTAAATTAAAAAATTGTGTTAAAATATGTATTTCAAAACATCATAAAAGCGTAGTAATTCAGTAATTAGTGTAGTAGATAATGACAGCCTTTCCATTTCCAGCTCTGTCTATACAAGAGTTCATTGCTTTAGCTATTCTCCTCCACTGTCGTGGTTAGGAAATTTAATCAGAGCACCAAACTGAACAGAAATTGAGCTTTTTTTTCAGAGTACAGGTTAATATTTCCAGCTCTCTGTCGTTGAAACAAAAGACACCCCACTGCAGAAGAAAATACTTCTAGTATGTGCTTAATTAAAACACACAACTGCTACATAATGTTTTCATGAAAGTAGTCTTCAAGAACCTAGATGCTTGTAAAGTTCTGAAATGTGGGAAGTGGCTTTTCTATGAGGTTTAAGTTGGAAGGCAAATGGACATGTTTACCAAACTACTTATTTTTCCCCGAGAAATATCTAATTTATGAAGATATTAAGATTCTTTTTGACGCCATTATTCAGGATCTGGTTTAACAGTATTTACACCACATATCCTATTTTGCAAGATATGGAAAGGCAGTGATAATAACTTTGTGTGGCTAGAAAGGACTGCTAGGCATACTTTTATAGCCTGGATTAAGGAAATTGGATAAATTGTATTAAAATTAACACAGCCATAACAATCGCATTTGCTGTAAATAGTTTTAAATGAATCATTAGAGATGCCAGAGCTTTCAGCAACATTGATAAATTATTAAATTTAATATATAGTGTAGATCATAGAAGCAAAAATTGAAATGCTTGAGGGAGATATTCCCCTGCCATGTTAATAAAATATATGGTGGAATAGTAGCAGCTATTGCTGATGCTGAGTTTGAAAGTGAATTGGAAAGAGTAACTAGAAGTTGTAGTTTGTATTTTTATATGTTGCACATGTCAACAAATGGTAATTTGAATGTGTTTATAAAATAAAGGGGGGGGTATATAGAGCACATATAAGGCATTGAGGACTAAAGCTGGCAAAGTATAATTTTCCTACCTTTTTTTTTTTTTTTTTTTTTTTAAATAGAAGGGTAACAGAAAGATTTTGTCAGAGAATATGGTGATCTGCTGCTTCTCCCTTTGGGTACCTGTCCTCTAGAAGTCAACAGCTAACTTCACAGTTCTGGACCTTTCTCTAATTTTGCTGCAAATACTTGTGGGGAAAGGTTTATTTAACATTAGTGATTTGGTAGCTAATTTGCAGCTTTGCTTTCTTCCTCATGTGCATCTACTTTTCTCTATTGCCCTGCGTCAGCAAAACCTGTGCAATCTCGTGAACTGAAATATCCTGAAGTAAATTACTTTTAGTTTATGCTACTTTTTATGTTATTTCATGCTTTGGTCTTTCTTCTTGCTAGACATTTAAATCTGTAAAACTGGTGCTTGGGAAATTTCCTAAATTCATCTGATAGAGAGTAGTGTAAAAAGGCTTAAATAAAACCAAATCTGTTAATATCAAAATCCTTAGATTTTTGAGCAGACCTATTTTCAAAAGGTTGAGCAAACAGAGAAGCCCTAAAACAGTTTTAAGAACCACTAACATGAAAGAGTGTTGCCTCACTCTTCCCTAATCTTGTTAAATACAGGCCTTAGCAAATTAAGATTCTATCATGTTTTAAAATTAAGGAACCAGATTGTGGATTGTAGAGCACTGTTATTTCCCTCTCTCTGTTTTCGGCAGTGGGGAGTGAAGATTGACGCTTTCTGTTATAACTTCAAGAGTGGAAATGATGTTTTAATTATATCCAAACAAAAAATTCAAATGTACTGAAATAAAATTAAAACATTCTATTTGTTGTTGTCCCAAATAAGAAGTAGTTGATTTTCAGATATGTATTAGCTCTTTATTTCCCCATTTATTTCCTTACATTTTCTGTTTTTCTTCTTTCAATGTTATTTTATCTTCTATTTTTTGATAAATCTGTTTGAATCCTTTTAAGTATCTGTATAGGTATTCTAACTCATTACACTTAATTAAATAGTTCACCCCAACTGCAGTCAGAATGTTTGTCTCTTAAAAGGTCTTCTATTAAATATAAGACTTCTTTTGTTCCTCTATGCTATAATAATTCACACTCCTTTTTGAAAAATTCTGAAAGGTGTTGTGGGATTTTCTTCTGTAAAATTATATGCTTTTCTCATTAACACTTGATCAGATTCTGACAGACTGTAAAATATCACTAAACACCGATTGATTTTGACAGTCACAATTATGTAACTTCTTAAATGCAATTCAAATCCACTCATTTGGTTTAGTGGTACATTTTTAGTCTAGCTCATCACATAAAGTGCTGTGCATATCTACTGTAATACTGTAAACTTTATCATTCATGGAAAATTCCAGAAGAGACTGGGAGGTACTTTCTTTACTAGGAGTCACTATGATAAAATGAAGTTTTCAAGAGAGAATGTCATACAGCTTCTGTATGTTTGTATATTTTTCCACTCTTAAGTTTTCATAGATTTTATTGTTATTATTGCTTTTTATCAAGTATATTAGCATGAATTATGTTGCAGCAGTTCTTCTAGGTTTTTTGCTTTGATTTACTTCTCACTTAATGGTAATTCGGCATAGTTCCTTAATAGTCATTTTTAAGTATGAAATCCTTCTGGATTCTGATGCTGCAGAATATGGAGGGCATCAAAGGCTGGACCACAGTACAGAGTACTTCTCTGAAGAATGTCCTCACAATTATCGACCTAATTCAATTATGGTAAGTAAGATTTTTTTTTTTTTTTTTTTCATTCTACTTTTAAAATTCTTTGGACAAATATGGAGTATATTCTAGGAGTATTCTGGGGAGGTGTGGTTTTTTTTAATTTATTTTCTGAAATTAGCCTTTATATGAATACAGTAGAGATGACAATGTTATGATTTGTTTATGACCTATAATGTTAACTGATATTTCTCTTTTGATGTTACATTTAAATTTGCATGCGCTCTTGCAGATTCTGGCACAACATTCCTTCCCAGCATGCATGAAAACTTTCTAATGTGCTTTTGAATTGTCATTTTTAATATCATTTGCTTTATTTTCATGTCTGAGAAACTCCATACTTGCTTTGTAATTTAAAGCTCTCTAGAAACTGAATCTTGCGGTTGCTTTCTTAGAATCATTTGCTTAACTCCACAAACATGAATTAGAGCAAATCGTGCATTTGTCAATTGGCTGTCTTCTCCTCAGTTTACAAAACAACTTTGCAAAATGGAACAGACCTTCTCTGTTCAGTTCAAGAATTTCCAGTCCTAAAGTGATATGAATAATGGATAGACTTTCCCACAAATCGCTTCAGATGAAGTGGGAGGCATATCCTTGAATACAATTTCTGTTAGCTGAGATGATGACTAATAAAAATTCTATCTTTCTTAATTACTCTTCTAATCATAATCACCACAATTAACAATTTTAAAATGTCATTTTCCCCATTCTTTATATATGTATATGTATACATATATACAAATATTTCCTATTCTTTATATATGTATTCACATGTGTATGTGTGTATATGTTCACAAGCACAACAGAACAAGATTCAAATCCAACACGAATTAATACACAGTTCACTGAGAAAGTTCTGAGACTGCTTATGTTGCTGTCTAGATTTTCATATCTAAAACATATACAAGGGTGAAGGGGTTTGTATCTCTATGCATAGGGATATTTATACATGCAAACACCTGTAAATAAGTTACCTTTGTAATTTTAACAGGCTACAAAAATGGAGTATCTGCACTGATTTGTGTGGGCCACTCCTCTTCCATCACAGAAAGGGGACATCAATTTCTAATGTCACATCTTAACATCTCTCATGAGATCTAAACTCCTGCGAATTATTGTCGGTTTTAATCTCTCACTCTCTCACACTCACCCTATTTTATTGTATTTCATTGTATTGGCTTTTCTCCTGTTTTAAAATAGTTTAATTACATGAAAGAATTCTTGTGCTTTCATCATGCTTGGTGTAAAAGGATCTTGGAAATGTTGGGGGTTTTTTTAAGTATGTGTGTGTGACAGTGCCCTCATAATGTGGGTAAGTATCTATGCTCATTTTCACACAAAGAAACTAAGGCTCTAAGGTTTAATTCCTGAAGATTATGTAGCAAATTAATACTTCCAGAATTCTTGCTTTGTGTGTTCAAATACCTTGCTTTGGTGATTGGAGCGTGTCTTAATTATCAACCACTAACTTAACTTTTGCAAGCCAATTAACTGTAATTTGGAATGTGTATTTCACATTTAGACTCTTAGATGGTGAGTGCAAGTCATTCAAGACAGAACAAAATGCGACAAAATGTGAAGATGCAATTTGCTAGAAGCATGTGGAAGATAAGGCATGTGACAAGCAAAGCAGCAAATGCACTTTTGCAGCATAAACTGTGGCATGGCAATGGCACTTCTGGGATTAGAAAGAACCCCAGCAGCATGGGTCATGTTAACTTTCTTTTATGTCCTTCAGCAATCCAATTCACAGACCACCTTCAGCCAACACCCCAGAAGATGCCACAGGCACCACATAGAGGTAAAATGCTAGTAAAAGGACACCAAGTAAAAGTAATTGGGGAAAAAAATCTGGAAAACCTGACTAAATTTAGCAAGATATATCTCCAAGTAAGAAATAACAAAAGTTACAGTAAATACCTCCAGCTGCTATTTTACAATAAAACAGTGATGTTTTATTTTAAATAGCAATTTACACCCCAATTCTTGAGTATTCAGTCATCCTTGGGAGTTCCTTGTTTCAATCGCAGTTTCTAAAATCCAAGTAGAAGTCTCCCCCTCAAATTTCTTTTCCAAAAATGTATGATGCCTCCCCAGTAAACTCATAAAGGTTCTTTTCCTGCTGTTTAACAGTTATTCTCTTTACATAATGCATGAGACCTAAGTTTCTTGTTGCAAAAATTTTAGTTCCTCCTCCACAAACTTCAAATAAATATTTTTTTAATGACAGATGCACCTCCTTAATGTGCAAGTAAACACTGTCAGCAAAACATGCCCAGAGGGCTATGACAAAGTGAAATCATATGAAATAATTCTGCAGCTCAAGCCAAGTTTAAAGAGCACACAAATATATTACAAAAATAGGAATTAGATGTGATGTGATTCATCCTAGAACCATCACCTAATAAAAGAAAGATTCAGAGTGACATTGCAAAATGAGAAGGTGGATATGAAATTTCTGGAGCAAAGAACCCTGGATGAAGAGGAAGCTTTTAAGCACCGCTAGGCATTTCTCTGTAAAATTTTGTTGGATGATTCCAGTTTGTTTAATAATGCTGTAAAGGGCCAGATTTGAAAAGTATCAGACACACCTTGAAAACTCCATAGAAAAAAGCACAAAAAATGTCCTTTGTAATATTACTGATTTAAATAATTATTATAATCTAATTTTTCCATTTCACTGCTTGCTCTGTTCTGGATTGTTAACAAATACATGAAATGTACATAACTTTCCACATAACCAAACATAATAACAACTACTTTGTCATTGTAAAAATAGACTCTTTTTACCACAGATTTATTTCTGTTTATGTCTCCACTGTGGTATTCTCGTAATAGTCTTTTTAGAGGTATCTTTTATAAAAGTTGTGTGCTTTTTCAGTGCTTTATAAACTTCTAGTTTTGCTTACATATTATCATCTCTTTGCAAGATGTAAATCAAGTGCTGCACACACATTTCAACTCCTGTCAAATCCTAGTACCCGTTTCTGTACAAGGTCATTTTTTGGTACCTTACTTGGCTGTTGTAGATGGATGTGAAACTTAGATTTGGGGTGGCAGGAGTGGGGAAAAAAAGAACCATTTTTAATAACATTCATCATTCAAAACGTTTTGTCAGTCTTTTCTAAGGCATCCAACTTGGCTGAATTTTACTGAAAAGTGGAGATAGTTTTTGTCCTATTAACTTTACTATTTTTGTCCCACACCAAAAGTTAGGATTTATGTGAAAACAGTGGGGTTTATACTTTGATACTTTGTGCACCAACAGAACTAATAAGCAGGCTAAATAGAATGTTGCAGAATATGTTGTGTTATTGGCAAAATAGTATGCAGTTTATTGAGAAATATAATTGTTTAACATATTTCAGCTTTTATATATTTACTTTTTCTGTAGTTCTTTCCAGTTAGTTAAAAAATAAATAGATGTCATAGTATTCCTTTCCCCCTGTCTCCAATACTTTTATTTTTTTTCTCCTGATTCTTTATTTTTGGCATCCACTGGTATTATCTTTTCACATTAAATGAAACTGAAATTATATAGCTTATTTTAAGAATATCCTTATTGCTGGGTTGAGTTTTTAACCTTGACCTTAATGTATACTATTCAGTGTCAAAGTGCAGCTTCCTGCTTCCTTGAGTCTATTGACAAATTAAAATACTCACATAGACCGAAATGATTTAAAAGCTTTTAGTGACCTTAGCTTTGAAAATACTCATTTGAATAACTTTCATGATAAGGATTTATATATTGAATTTTAAGGGACTGATGTAGTCTTTAACTGTTTTCTCCCCTGACATGCACAGATATACAGAATATATGAAAGAACGTTTGTAGTTAGAAAATTAACTGTTTTAACTAGGTGAATCAGTAAGGCTTTTTAATACCATCAAGGTCTTTTGTTATTTGTTACCTCTTGATAATTAAGATTTATAAATGCATTTGCTCGTATTCATTTATCATTTGACTTCTTGAAACCACAAACAAGTGTAATGATTCAAAAGTTATTCTGGTGGTCATTTTCTTTCAGCCTATCTTATTTTTTAGTCTACTTGTTTATGTTTTCCAGGAGTTTTTGTTGTCTTTTTAATGTGCTCTTTCTTAACCTGAAGAAAGAGTGCAAAAGATAATAAAGGAGAAATTTTGAGATACAGCCTGTGCAGTATGTGGCCTTAGGAAGCAAGACGGTCTGAGAAATTATATTCTGCATATTCATTCTGTACAGCTGTAAATTGAAAAACAATTTGGGAGGCAGAACTTCACATTATTTTAAGCATACCTTCTTTGTCATATGCAATATCTAGCAAATGAAAACCTAAATGTCTGGGATTCTACATAAGAAATGACAGAAAGCAAAAGCTATCATGTATTTTATTCATTGATGGTTAATTATATTCTCAGAATAGTGTCAGTGTCTGACAGTTAGTAGTGATACAGAGACATGAGATTGTCTAAAGCCCTCATTTTAATTAAAAGTTTGGGATAATGTTGGCACAGACTCTGGTGACATTGCCTTCTGTATCTGCCAGCTGCAATATGCACTATCAAATATTTTTCTGCTGTGCCTGATCTAGCTCTGAGTTGTAGTAATTCTCCCATCTGTTGCAAAATGACCTTGAAATGATTTTAGGGCTTGCTGTTTTTCAACCCTGAGTGTGGAAGGAAGAGTAGTTCATTGCCATTCTGACCAGTTTCAGTTGTACTTGAACCTGATACTGAATCTAGTCTGATAGATCTGAAAGAAGCAGTTGTCATTTGCAGAACTTCTTGCTAGTGGATTTTTAGGTACATTTGGAGATTGCTGTGTATTGTACTCCTCTCTGAAAATATGTAAGGTGAGATTTCTGCTTATAGCTGCTGTTGTTCACAAGTGCTTTCTGTATTGGGCTTTCGTGTGTTGTTCTTAGCTTTTCTAATTTCTTGAAATTGTCTGGGTATTTACAGAAAAAAAGTACAAGGAGTAAGCATCTGTATGGCTGAAAAGCATCTTCTGTTCCTGGCAGGTATTAGCAGTACCAGTTGTTTTTTCCCTGTTTCTGAGATAGCCTACATGAGCGGACTATGATCCTGATAGAACACCATGTATGTTGGTGGAAAACAGGTTGATTGTAATAAATAGGTTTTTTGTCTCTGTAGTACAGTGGCTATACTGTTTTAGTGCCAGAAGCCTTGATCTGTGTGGGATTTACCTAGTTTCAGACTGTATAACTGCCTCACAGTTTAAATGGACATGCAGTATAAAAAGGTCAGAGGTGATAACAGAAAACACTTAGGTATGTATTTGACTTATAAACAACATTCCTACCACCATCACCCTCTCTGTTAGCACATCTGCCTGTGAAGTCAACTGCCATTACTTCACCTAATTCCTGCTGAATGCTCCATTGAGAATAGAAAGACTTCAATGCTAGTTTGATGACTAAACATTTGAACATCGACTTTGTCATAAATTTATATTTACAGCTGAGTCATCCTAACTGTGCCAAACAGATCTGATGTTCTCGCTTCTCTATATTGCACTCCCCCATCAGAAAACACCTCATGAGCGTTCCTAGGTGTGGTTTTAGATGTCTTAATGGTTTCCTAAAATAGTGGCGTTTGTATGACACCTTAGAGAAGCTGACCTGATAAGTAACCAATTGGTGTAGAAAGCAGAGGGCCAATTCACTGAGATAACTAAAGCCCTGAGCTACCTGGTCTGACCTCATAGCTGACCCTGCTTTCTGCAGGGATTTTGGGCCTCTTGAGGCCCTTTCCGACATGGATGAGCCTAGTGGAGAGGAAAGAGCTGGGAGGGGCTTTTAAAATTAACACAGAAAGCTTGAAACAGAAGAAAGATTCAGAGAATGATTTGATTAAATGTTAGTCATGACATTGGTTAGCTATGAATATATTCTCTTTAGTGTTCTGTACTTTGGGTTTTCACTTCTGTCCATGTTCATCAGGTGAGCCTTGTGAAACGGTGAAGGTGACATGAATGGGATAAAACCTGTGATCAGAAAGAAACAGGCTAGAAGAGCAGAGATCAATAGAACTGAAGCTGGTAATTGGAAGTATATAATTCAGCAACATTATATGAAAGGGAAAAATGAAGACAAGAATAAACTTCTGAGACCTTCCTCCTAGAGTACAGAAAAAAAATCAAAAATGCCATATCTATGATAAAGTCTTTTACTGATGAATACCTAGGTTTTCTATGATGGTTTTAATTGGGACACCTCTCTATACTTTTACTATACTTACCTATTTATAGATAGATACATATCTCAGGCCATGTACTATGTATATAAAAACTAGCTAGAGATAACGAAGAGTGGGTCTCCTAATGAAGAGTGATCATCTAAGTTGATTCTACAAATATACAAATAGGAAAAGCAGCTTATGAAAAAATGCAAGTCCCTTGACAAAGGGAGGAGTCCAACCTGAGATGGGCACTATGTACAGGAGTATTCAGTGCCTATTTAGACCTCGGACTCCAAGGGCAAAGCCTGCTCTCAAACCCTTTTGTGTGACAGTACACTACTGAAAATAAAGAAGCGGTAGCAGAGCAATAGGTTAGGGACATATTAGAAAGGCTGTATATTAATGGGATACAGACCAAGGTTTGAAAAGATGTCAGTGATGTGATTACAAGGCTGCTGACTATCACCTGTGAAAAATCTTAGTGGTCAGGGGACATAGGTGACAACTGAACAAAGGCTGTATTAAAAGCAGAAAGGAAGGCTGAGAGATCTGTAGGCCAGTCAGGCTCTCCCCTTAGTCCCTCAAGAAGTCAAAGACCACTTCCTCTTGGAATCCATATCCAAACAAGTGGGGTATGTGAGATGAGTCGGTCAAAAAGCCAACACAGATTTAGCAAAGGCAGAACATGCATGATCAATGTGATTGCTTTCTGTGGTGAAATGACTCCAGCTGTGTGCATGAGGTTGCTACAGCCAATGCAGTAAGCCTTTCAGCTACAGCATTCTTACCTAGGAGCTGAGGAAATGTGGGCTGGATGAAATGATTGATACGTGGGTTAAAAACTGGCTGGGCTGCTGCAGCTTTAGTAATCAGAGGCTGTGTCCAGCATTGACTAGTATCAAGGAGAGTGTCCTCCAAATTGCTGCTGGGGCTGATTATGTTTGGAGTGTTCAGCAGTGACTGGAATGATGAGGCACATACTCTCAGCATATGTGTAGATGACACTGAAATAGAGTGAATGGTTGATAAATTGAATGTTAGAGGTCCAATCCAGATGCATCTTGATAAATTTGAGGATTTAGTCATCAGCAACTTCATAAAAATTACTGAAGAAAAATTCTGCAGAGGAATCCCACGCATCAGTAAAGATTAGAAACCAACTTGCTGAGTAGCAGCCCAACTGAAAAAGACTAGGGTTATGCTGGATACCAAGTTGAATGGAATGGGGTTTGTCACAGACACATATCATAACATGTCAGAACAGGTATCTTCATTAATGAATTTTAGTCTGTTATTGAATTAATGAATTTTAGTCTAGAATTCTCTTTCAAATTCTTTGTTGTAGTTTGGACCTAAATAACTTAGAAAAAGGAGAGGAAAAAAAATAATCTGTGGTACTTTACCTAGGAAATGCAAAAAGAACTGTGGTTGCCTTTTTTTCAATATTTAGGGAAGGCAGAACTGAATAATACAATAGAAGGATGTTTGTTTCAGTGCCTGGGGTTCTGAGCCTTTAATTGTTTACTATTGCACATTTATTTCTGTAATATTAAGTACTGTATGTATGTGCTTAGAATCAGAACAGTGGATTAAAATAATATATGCAAGCAGAGTTCTTTATCTAAATCAGAGACATCAATTAAAATATGCCTAATGTTACTAATTAATTAGCTTTTAGCTAAGGATTATCCATATTTTTATATATTTGAAAGTGTCTGGACTCAAACATACAATAAGGTCCTTGCATTTCAACTTACCCTATCAGTAATGGATTCCTGACTTCTTTTAGTCGTGCCCCTTGGTGACAAATTGTAGCATATGGTTGGAGCACAGTCTACTCAGTGCACCAAAGTACACTCGGAAAAAGAATAGAGAAAATAAATTTAAATTAATGGGGTTATGTTACTACAAGACTGGTAGTTCAGGTGAGGTGCTGAAGGAAAAGGAATAATACTGGAGTGGAAAGACGGAAGAAGTTCTGGGATTCGGGGTGTCAGAAGAGGAAGGAGCACAAGTGAGAAATATGGGCTGAGAATGCTGAAAACCCTGCTGGGATCCTGGTCCAGATAATCTTCCAGATTTCACCTTACCTCAGGAAAGACAAGCAGTCTTTCCAACCTCATTGGTCACATTTCCCCCACCCCTCTCTCTCACACAACTGTTCTGTATTCTATCTATTTAAACAAATAATGAAGCCAGAGAATATACACTGTAGTATTTCTGGAAAGGCTGTTGGGCTGGGGGGAAGGAATAATCCTGATATATTTGTAACAAGAATTATCTAATACTTGTGTAGTATCTTTTAAAAAAAATGTACAGCAGTGGAATGAATAATTAATAATTACATTTAATAAGTATTAATATATTTAATCAAGAATTAATACTTATTCATTGTTTGTGCCCTAATTGTTTTGTTGCTTCTTGCAGTTTTATTTAAGCCTTAGAAGTGGTTACACTGACCAATAAAAGAAATTGATAAGATTAGGAGATAATGCTGTAGGTGGCTCTTATTCTATGATATAGCAAGAAGCCCACCTAGACCAAAAAAACACTAAAATGCATGTTTAATTTGCCCAGGCAAGGAAAAAAAAACACATGACTAAAATAATAAGCTGGCAGTTGCATCTTTTCATGGCAAACAGAAAACATATCTGTCATCAGTCTAAATACAATCATTTGCACAAGTTCTGAAATTGTGCTTAAAACCAGTTTGAAAATTCTGATTGGCAAGAAGTGGCAGGAGTGGCATGCTTCCACACTGCTCTCAGATTCTCAGCTGATGTACACTGACTTTAAAGGAACTGGGCTAATTTACTTCTCCTAGGATCTGACATATTATTGACCAGAATATAGGTGAGAATAGCTGTGTCCTGTATTAATTTTTATTACCTTAGCTGAAGTAACTTTTTACATATTCTTTCTCAGAAAAACAATTTCTATTTGTTACTTCTCACTTCATCATACAAACCCAGAGCACTGAATTTCTCAATACACAATTTTAAAATCTCTTATTTATCTATATGTTCTGAGCTAGTTGACTTCATTAAGTACTTCCTCTTCTGCACAGATTTGTAGAAGCTATTTATCACTGAAACTTTAGGGGAAATCATTATGTTCACTGCCTTTCAAGAAGCATTGGACATAGCTCTGTCTGGTTCAATGAAGATCAGCTCTTCTTTTCCTTTTTCTCCTCCTTCTAAAGCTTTTTGCTTTATTGTGTCATTCTGTTTTGAAAACTATGAAAGCCTTTCATGCCATCAGGCTCTAGTTAGCAGATGACGTGGTTGAAATTGCAGAATATTAGACATTCCACAGGGATGAAGGATAGTCTAAAAGAGGATGTTGTCAGAATGAAGCCAATAATCTTCAATCCTGTGTTACCTTTTATAATTGCATTTTTATTGACTTGTTCAGCAAACACATTCATACACTTGACAATTGATGGAGTACCATATATCAAGGTAATTGGTAGGTAGGACGTATCGGTCCTGTTTTCAGATTGTGACTCTACTCGGCTTGGAAGGAATGTCATGTGAAATATATTGCCACAAGTTCTTCTGTGATCTATGAAGAGTGTTTTGATTACATATGTTTGGGTTTTTTCATGGTAATCAGGAAAAAAGGGTAAGAGAAATGCAATAATTTAATGGTTAATTTTTGATCTGTCTAGTTTTGAGAGTGGGTTTTATTTCTCAGATAGTGAAACCCCATAGATACCAAGAGTGAGAAGAGTGCATTGCTGTGTCATATTGCTGGTATTTACCTGTGTAAAATGACATCATAGACCTTGGGGCAGCTTTAATTCACCGCAGAAGTGTGTTGTGAAACTTTGTCATTTATCATTGTACTGTCTATTGACCTAGATGTCCTCAGGTTTTTGAAACTGGTCATTGTAAGTCATATGAGGCCCTCTACTGGTAGCCACTTCAAAATATATCAAGGTAAGATTTTAGAAAAGAGAAAAGAAGAGAGATTGCAATGAAGCTCTCTTTTAGGTTATTTTGTGTAATTCAAGTACTGGAGACTAAGCAGTCGATAATCACTCTTTAAATGTGATTAGTATGACCCACAACGTTGAACAAATGACAGATTCTTAACAGTTAAAATATTTCACATGTGTTTTCACATACTGTTATGTAGAAATTATCCTGTGAGGTTGATTTTTCTTTTCAGCTATTCTTGTTTTTGTCATGTTTTTACTAGGTGTACATTCCAAGCAGAGTGGCTATTGTGCTTCAGAATATGGATATCCCAAAATGAAGTTTTCTGTAACTTACCACTTGAAGAAGCAAGTCATAGAAGAAGTGCTGATACGCTGTACTAGTACTAAGTATAATAAAACTTGCTCTAAGGAAGCTTTCTGAAACTAAGTATAGTAACATTAGGTGTTTAAAATATAAGATTAATATTCACATATAATTGCAGAGCTCTTGACTTCCTAGAACCTCTTTTGAGGAAACTTTACAAAAGTGTCAGAAAGGAAAACGTTGGTTTTGTAGTTCTAGTAGTACAAAATTACACTTAAGATGTTGCAAAGCAGCAGGTCTTCTCAATTAAATTGTTGTTTACAGAATTTTATCGGGAATAACAAGAGTGATCCTGCACCAAAGTTTGTAATTTCTTGTAATCTTCATTTTGATAGTGAATTCAAATGTTCATTATATAGTAATGCTTCTTACTAAAAGTAAGTAGTTTGCTTAAATAAAACTGAAGTTTTTGGCTAAAAGGCAGCCTTAATGGTTTATGGGACCTAATTTGAGGCTCCTCTTCTTCAATGAAGTCCAACATGGAATTAGAAATGTTTATCCAAATGGGTTAGAAGGTCCTCTGAGAGTATTGTACTTTGACATTTTTCATTTAATTAAAATTGCACAAAAATGCTGAACAGCAGAACAAGCAGGCTGATTGACTGGTGACCTGCTGATGCTATTGTGTGTGTTGCTTATTTGCTCCCAATCAAATCACTTAGTCTGTGCATCTCACTTGCTACAGCTGAAAAAATGACACAACAGTTTTATTTGGATGACTAAAATGTTCAGTGAGAAGAGAGTTTTGTTCTTACTGCAATGATACCACACTGGAAGATGTACTTAAAATGTAACTCCTCCCATTGCATTTATTTCACTAATGTCAGGACCTCGCAATACTGATTTCACTACTTCTAGAAGCTGCCTTTCAGCTTGGAACATGATGATGTTCTTGCACTTTTATAACTTTTGAAACATTGCTTCTCATGAAGAAGCAGTCTCAAAATACAGTGATCAAACTAAGGTGTTTTTTCGATAAAATCAAGGTAGTTAATTATTGGAGTGCTGCTATGATTATTCAAGTGAGTTCTTTCACGAGCTACAACTTTTTTGTAAAGAGTAAGATTTTGTATATTTGAAAATGTATTGCAGAGTATTCTGGAAAATTAATACCAAATTAACGAGACATGCTTTATTTTGTTCCATTTATTTAAAAACATTTAAATTGGTTCAGAAATGAATGTCTTTTGTACAAATCTGAATTTTCTAACTTTTAAAGTAGCCAAAGAAGAAGATGTCCGTGACCATTTCCAAGTCATAATTTTACCCAGTTTCCTATGTGAACCATTGTGTAAATTACTGAATAGTTGTGCCAACACTGAAAATCGATTCACAGTTCTTGGAATGCTTACTTGTGGCTTACTTCTTAAGCAAAATAAGGGATGGAATAATGCAGCATGATGGAAAACGGTCTTTTGGAGTGTTCACACTGAAATGACTTTATGAACATCCCCAGTCTGCTATGTTCTGTGTGAAGGAGAATTTTATATTGCAGTTGAGTATCATAGTACTGTTTAGGATCATGCTTCATTTTCCTCTACACCAGTTTGATCATTGTTTGGTAGTGGGCTAATAAAAGCATTCCCATTACACTAAGACTTAAAGAAAATACACTGAACTGTTTTAGCAACTGGAACTGATTATATTTTTTTTTCCAGGTTGTTTTCCTTGTAGTGAAATAACGAGCAACTTCTAATACATGTTATATTTACATTGTATTGATCTAATATGTTTTATAGGGTGGTTTGTTTTTTTTACTGGCACCAGTTCCAGGTTTCAAGATGTAATGCAAGGCAAGTGTCTGTGTCAAACCTTTTTTTCAAGAGAAGGAGTAAATGTATGATGTGAAGTATAAACTGTGTAAAATTACATGCAAAATAAACTCTGAGGAGGATAAAACAAATGCATATATGGTTTCATTGCTTGTACTGTAAAAGGATTGTACAGTGGAGGAGAGTATTAGATTGTGCTCCATCTTGAAATCAGAAACTTGTCTTGGTCAGAAACAGTCTAATGAGATTGGTAGAATATTTGTCCTATGCACATTTTTCTTTTATGTAGTGATAGATTAATAAAAGCAGACTATACAAGATTTGCAAGATGAACATGTAAATATAGGAAGCATAATAATTAGAGATCACCTCTACATTCTGATGGTGTGTGTGCTCCTGCCTATTTTGTGAGGTTGGAAATTTTTCCCTTGCAATACCCATGAAAAGTCAATTTCTTCCTCCTGCTCTTGGTATTCTGATGGATTATGAAGAGGAATTCAGCTACTGATATTTCACCTTCTGTCTAGCATCACACTCAGATTGAAAGACTTCAACCAAGGTTCCTCCTTACCACTACACACCTATGCTTGTAGCTGCCTGTCACCATAAGTGATTGAAGCTTCAGACACGTTCCAAGAAGCACATGAGCTCCAGAGCTCTTTTGCTTGGGTTCGCCTCAAATCAGCACTCTTCAGTCAAATATGATAGTTTATCTCTGTCACAGAAGTAAATTAAGTGGTCCATGGTGATGTATCCCTGGGCACAAAGGTCTCCACAGATTTAGACATCGTGGAAGGAATTCTCTTTAAAAATAATTTCTCTTAGTGTAAAGGACTGATAAGGATTGTGATGTTCCTATACTTAGAAATATATACTTCCCTACCACCTGAAAAAGTACTAGTAATTCTTGGTAGCTCTGGCCGTAGAAATTGTTGCTCCATGGTCTCTAAGAGTCAATGAGAATTGGGTTTCGTGCTCACCTGCCGGTTTATCTAAAGATTCAGGTTGACCTTCCCTCCATCTTGCACTGTGTGTGTGGAATGGTTCTTTGTAATGAATAATTCAAGTTCTTCTCAAAACCAGGTTATTCTTATGATAACAGGCAGGCATCCACTAGACTGGCCTATTCTGTGGGCAGTAAGTTTTGATTTCCTTGCTGTTTTCTCCTCCTCCCACAATTCAAGCCTTATTGTCCTGTGGTTTATTTAGAAGATGAATGGGGTGGTTATCTCAGGTTGGTGAGTACTTCTGGAAAACAGATTTTAGTGGAAAACCTGCTTGACCTTTTGGTTGGTTGGTTGGTTGGTTGGTTTTCTCCTGTGAAATTTGTCTTCCTCTTTATATTCAGTTTAGTAAAGAGTTTGTTAGCCATGTGCTCTGAAAGACAGAAATGTGGTGTAGCTAATCTTCCGACAAAAGAACACCAGCTCTGTGAATGGTAAGGTACCAGACTAGGTAAGCAACTGTATGGTACTCAGGCATAACGCACAGTGATATTTTCCTGTATTAATCTGTCAGTCACAGTTCATCTTTCAAATGAAGTTTTAAGCAGCTTGAAGTTTAGTTTCCCATTTTTTTTTCATGTCTCCAGATCTTGACTGCCCATTAATGGTTAAAGGAAGAACTTCCTGTTTATTTAAAAGTCTTCTCAGAGCTCAAAAATAACTTTACTAGTTAGGTCGCAAAGGGTGAGGGTTAACTGAATGAACAGCAGAAATAGTTTCCGTTAACTTAAATAAATGTGGATATTCTATTCTGGATGTGTTGAGGCCTATGATCCATCTTTCTTCTGCTCCATAATTTAACTTTCTGAGGAATTTAAGTATTCAGCATGTAAGAGCTTCCTCATTCACTGTTTCCAAACTGGTCATGTTGTCATTGTTGGAGGATTGCTACAGAGATGAAGCAGTATTTTACATATTTTCATATATCATACCTTAGTTAGGATCTGACTTTCATAAAAATCATCCTGTAAGTGGCATCTTCCTAACAACAGAAGCTTTTTTACTAAGGAAGAATCTTTATATGTGTCTGTTTTCACACCTCATAGTATATGGTGCAAGGGTTTTGAAGAGGTTGAGGGTTATTTACTGTAATGGAGAGCTGTCTCTTGTGCCAAACATATGTTTTAACTATGTAGATTTTCAGATTAATTAGAGTTGTATTCAAATTATTGAGGAGAGAAATAGCATCTTTCTGAAAGTTTCACGAGCATTTAAAAACCCAACCAAACATTTTGATCATGTTTGCCTTTATAGAGACAAATATTTTTTCTCCATACAATGTTTTCTTTTTGTTTTATCTGCAAATCAGTTGCACTAATAGTGACAGGTAGACATATGACTTCTCTTATTAAAAAGAATTATATAAATTGTTGGGCAAAAATAACTTCAGTTGAATACATTAAAAATATTCTGTTTATGGTAAGGTAAAAACAAAAGCTAATGATGACTCATTAGATGAGACAAATTATATTTTTCATGCCTGTGAGTACAATATGTACCCTGTAAATATAAATAACTCTTGGATATTCATGGTAAATTAAAGCCTAAAATGAATTAGGAGAAAATGTAAGAACTTGTAGACATTGAAGTAATAGGTCTCAGCTTAGCTGATATTTTTGCATATTTACAAAGCTATTCTGAACCCTGAAAAAAAAAAATCTAAGTGTTTAATTGAACTAGTTCTGAAAACTCTTCTAAAGTTCAGACAAAGACAATAATTTCTCAGAATATTAAGAGAGGATTAAAATTGATGCAGCACTAATCACCCATGCCATTTGACTCCAAGATAATCTTCAGCATTGTTAAAAGCTAAGAGGGAACTCTTTCTAAACTTGCTTATTTCTTCTGACTGTGTCTCACAAATCACAATTTAAAGGTATAGAACACAGACTATGATAGAATGATGTGAATTTAATGCATTGAATAGTCAGTCTTTGCTCATGGTATGAGGTTTATGACAAAACAGATACAGTGCATTTAGAAAGGCGGGTATGTTTGCAAACACTGAAAAAACTAAGCTGCAAATGCTGTAATATAGTGTTTTGTCCATAGTAATTATTTGTTCTGCTACTTTCCAGTAGTCTGCTTGAGTCTTTTGTAGCAAAGGAATGAACTCTGTTCTATTTTCTATTCTCTTTATTGGAGAGAGAGATTGAGGGCAAGCAGCTAGCTGTCCTGCTGTACTGGGTCTGGCTGGGATGGAGTTAACGTTCATCACAGCAGCCCTATGGTACAGTGTTGTGAGTTTGTGCTTAAAATGGTGTTGATGACATAGCAATGTTTTGGCTGTCACTGAAGGAGGCTTGCACAATGTGAAGGCTTTCTGCTTCCTAGGCTGCCCACCCCCACACTCACTGCTTGCCAGGAAGTGTCTGGACATCTGCCTGCTGATGGGAAGTCGTGAATGAATTCCCATTTCTGCTGTGCCTGCACTTGCAGCTTTTGCTTTCCCTGTTAAAGTATTATCTCAATTCACAAGTCTTCTCACCTCCCTTCTATTTCCTCCCGATCCTAAAGGAGAGGGAAGTGAGTAAGCAGCTTGTGAGGGTATTTGGCTGTCTGCTGGGTTCAACCCACCACCTCCACCAAAATCCTAGTGAACTGTCCACCTCAGAAGGAGATTGGCTGGCAAGATGGAAGTAGGTGAAGTTACTGAGTGTATCTTGCGTTTACTTGAGTTGTAGAGTAAGATAACTGGAGTAGAAAGTATCACCTGTGTGAATGATCAGACAAAGTCTACGTATTCAGTCTATTTCATGCTAAAAATTCTTGGGCCGGTTCTTTTGTAGTAGTAGCACATGATTATCCCCATAGAAGAGTGTAAAAATACTTCTCTACTTCAAAATGTGAGTATCTTTTAATGTAAATTCCTTCATAAAAGTTTATTCACTATTGAAAGAGAAAATACTTCTATCAAAAGACTACTTTCTGGTACAGTAAAGATATGGAAAACTAACTGAAATTAAAACCTGATCATTAGAATGTATGAAATTTTAACCATTACTTTTGTACAAAGCACCTTTCATATATTGACCACTGATTCTGTTGGGGTGTTTTTTCTTTGTTCATTACAGTGGTATTAGACCAAATGCAACATTTTCTTTGAGTCTTTCTGCCTTTCCTGCTTTTTCAATGCCACTAATCATTTTAAGTCTGACTGTTCCATGCTTTTGTCAGGTGACAGCAAACACTGTTTGGCAGAAAAAAAAGCACATTTTTAGACTAGCATGAGAAAGCCAATTGTGTAAACACATCATGTCCAAAAACCAAAATGTATTTTTCTATCCAGCATTGTTTATCTGAAGGAACTAGTGTTGATCACTTCATGAAACGGAACAGAAGGGCTGTGTGGCATAGAGAACAGTTATTTGTGCAGTAAACTATTTTCCCAAGGCAAAAAAATACTCCAGGATTTCAAATAGAGGATTTTTTCATTAAAAATATTGGAGGATGACAAATGAGTATTTTCATAGAAAGTTATTTGTCAAAAATCCTCCCAGAGCAGTTCTATAAAAGTAAGAATACTACGCAAAATCAATGCTTGCATTATGTGCAAAGGATGGACACTAAGAGCTCTAACGTTAATTAACATTAGTGTAAGCAGCTGAGTGGAGGGGGCTTTCATTAAATTCATTGCACAAGTGAATCCCTGTACTGTTCTTCTGAAAATAAGGAACATTTTTTAATGAGGATGTACAGTGTCAGGGCTATAGGGTTAATTTTCCATCAGCCTCCTTTAGCTTCTGAAATTAAAATCAGCTATGTAATTTCTGCTTGGTGCCTGTTGGAGAATGTTGGCAGGCAGTGACTTGGCCAGGCTCCTAACCTCAGCATCCTCCTTCCCAGATGGGTCAAGCTGTCCCAGTGGTGGTCCTTGCACAAATGCTGGTGGTGCCACAGGATGAACTGGACTGGAAAACTGATTTGGTGGGAATATAGCTCTCTGCCAAAATATGTAACCCTAGCTGGAAAATGTGTTCTTTACAATTCATAGATGTCTCAGTCTTCCTGCACCTTGTCAATGAGGGTGACTATGCTGCATCCAGTACGTGTGGGTTTTTTCTAGTTGTGCTGTTTAACTGCCTGCTGTTAAACTTCCTTCTAGTTTTCAATAACCTGCTGGATCTACCA